CTTTTTTTTTTTTTTTCTTCTCCAGGCGGTAGGGTGATGAGGTATTTAAAAGTAAAGTTAATAATTGAACTAGGTGAACGGACTGACTTCTTTGGATCCTAGCTTTTGTTCTTGTCTAGTAAAGCTGTCACGAGCTGGAGGATGTCCTCTCTTCCTTCCTTCTTGGTGTTGCATTGGCAGGGGTTGGGAATGTCCATCAGTCTGTCTGTGTGGCCTGGTAGGGGTGGAGTTAAGTTACGTGAGCATCTTTGTACTGGTAGTGCCTACCTGAGAGGACAGTCATCCTAGACAAGTGATGTTGATCAACCTTGGGCAATTTTTTTTTTCTCCCCCTGTGTCCAAAAGCAGTACAGAAGTTAATGAAAGCTGAAGAGAAGCCGTATGCTGGGGAAGCTGAGGGCAAATACTTCACAGCTAGGTGCCAGGAGGAAAGGATGTATTGGACAACTTTCACTTAGAGGGTGTTTTAAAACCAGTGCTGTTGAGCTGCAAGAGTGTGGGGCCACTTCTGAGTCAGACAAGAGTGGAAGGGAACCAGTCTTCCGTTGGAGGAATGAGCCTTCACCCCTTCTGACAGCAGAAGTCTGTTTTATGAGTATGTTGCTTCTGAGCAGTAGTTGTGTGTAGTCTTTTATCCCAGCAGAGGTGCTGAGGTAGGAAACATGCTCTGTTTATCCTGCTTAATGAAGGGAGGCCCGTTACCTCACACAGTGATTGATATTTGTTAAATAACGGTATGCAGATGCTACTAGGCATGGCTGGCTTCAAACTGGTGCTTCGATGCTGGCTAATCTATCATCAGTGTAAGAGCATCCTGTTCAGTGTGTGTGATAAATCTCTGCGGGACATCTGACGGCGGTTCTAGAACTGTGCTGACAAGGGCACTACTGGGGATATCACTGAAAAGGAAAAACAGTTGTGTTCATTCTAGCTTGCTTTGGAGAACAGGGGAAATGCACGGCGTGTGTAATTAAAGGATGGGGTTTGGAGGGAGAGGAATGTTAGGCTTTAATTGTAAAAGTGTTGCGCAAAGAGTCTTAATGTGGCCTTAATCCATAGTTTTAGCTACTGGTTATTTCTGAAGTGTAACAGCTCCATCAAAACCAAAGTCTTGTTAACATTGGAAGAGTCAACACCACCTGACTGGTTGGCTTTGGAACATTAATCTAGCCTAGCTGTCGTAAGTGACCTATGGGGAAAACACTAATGGCAATGAAAACTCAAATTAGGTATTCCAGGAACAAAAACCGCATTAGTGTACAAATAAATATGTTTATTCATACAGATTTTGTATTGTAGTTTGCTTCTTTTTATGTTGACGATTTCTTTTAATTGACAGCTCTTAAACATTTGGGAAAGCGGAAAAATGGCATCAGAAGACATCACTAAGCTTGCGGAGTCACTTGCCAAAACCAAAGTGGGTGGTGGACAGTTGAGCTTCAAAGGCCAGAGCCTTAAACTCAATACAGCTGAAGATGGTAAGAGAAAATACCCTTGTGTTTGGGAAGTATCTCCCTGAAATTCTGAAGTCTTGTGGTAAACCTCCTGCTAATCCTGCACAGACAAGCTGTCATAATATTAGCTGTGATGCAAGGGTCATCAGCTACAGCTGCTTCTGATAGACATGTTTCCTACCCTTCTTGTACCCTGCTTTGGCCTGGTGCCCTGGCAGTGCTACAGCTGGTGGAATTGGGGTTTGGCTCCCTGGTGTGTAATTCTTGTTTTCTCTCCAAGGGCTTTTGACAGTCACTGTGCATTAGAAGTCAGTGCTCCTTTTAAAAACAGTAAGCAAGTGGATGACCACTCTTGTTCCAAGCAGATGCTTCAAAGACCTCCACAGAGGAATGGGCTGATGTGTTCGTGTGCTGCAGTAGTCCAGTTTCTTCCCAAATTCTGACCAATTTGTTACGCTCTTGTTGTTTTTTTCTGGAATATCTCTTGCTGGTGTTTCTGTGTTTCCCAATTAAAAATGTCTGTCAGTGGCTGCTAATGTAGTAAATATCTGGAGAATACATTCTTAGATCAATGTTTCTGCCACACCAAGAAACAGCACGTTCTTCAGAGAGGTTATGTGCATACCTTTTTACTAATCCCAAAGGTGATGCTTTTTTATATGCCGTTTTAGTAGTGCAAAGCCACTGAACTATGGAAAAGGCTTTGGAGCTTGGGAATGATAACAAGTGCCTGTTGACAGGAGGGAGTCTGCAGCCTGCTCCTGTGTCTTGCACAGGATTATTCTAGAGTTAAATTGTTCCACCCTGACATATTTGCTAAACAAGCATCTACTTTTGCCAGTCAGTGGGAACTTCTTCCCATTAATGTTGCCCCAATTCCCATCAATTTTTAGTTTAGTCCTTGCATCTTTGTAGGCACATGCGCTCTAGCTCCTAAACCATGTGCTGAATTGCAGAGGAATCTTACTTAGGAAGTAAGGAAACTTATTTTTGTGGAGGATGGCTATCAGAGAGTAGAGCTAGAAGTAAATTATGAAAAGGCAGGGTAGGGAATAGAGAACATTCTCTGTAGTGACCTGATAAGTTACCTCTGTTCCCATTGCTGTTTCAGGATTCTTTCAGATAATGTTCATCTGGTTTTGCTAAGGGTAGAGTTGAGCGGGTATTGCTGCATCGGAGTGTTGCTGTGGTACCTAAGATGATAGTTAAAAGGCCAACTAGACTATCTGCTTTTTGCAGCTGAAGAAGTGATCAAGCAAATTGAGGAATTTGATGGCCTGGAAGCATTGCGCCTGGAAGGCAACACGGTGGGTGTGGAGGCAGCAAAGGTCATCGCCAAAGCCTTGGAGAAGAAATCGGAGCTCAAGGTGAGATCCTCAAGTGGGTGCTGCTGAAGGGGAAGAAATAATGTAGAAATACTGAAGACCTATCTGTTCTTCCTGCAGTAGCCTGCCTTGAGTTAGCTGCAAAGCTTGCGTGGTGGTTCTTCCAGTAGGAAGAACAACCATATGAAAATATGGCAGAACTTGGTGACTTTGTGATAATGGGAGTACTTTCTGCATTCCTAACTGATCCTGTTGAGAAGACTTCCAATCTTAAAGCTGGGAAGTTGTGCAAGGATGAGCCTCTCTGCAGAGGCAGCATCTGTAAACAAAGAACTGTGCAGCAACAAAGCTTAAATTCTAATGGAAAAGCTGGGTCATATCTTCTGGGGTACAATCAGATCTTCTGAAGTCTGAGTCTGCAGAGAATGCCTGAATAGGGAAGAAATAATGGAGGAAACGCACCAGGAGGTTTTCCTTGCCCAAGCCATGTTGCCCTGCTACTGTCCTACCCTAATGTTAGGAGGATGCTGTACTGCTAGAGGAGCTGTCCTTTGCAGGAGAGGAGTATGAAATGTTGATTCACATTCATCACCCAAGTGTGGTTTTTCAAGAAAGTTCAGATTGTTGAGCTCCATACCTTAGTAAAATCTGCATTCCTAATGTATCCTTCAGTTACCTGCTGCTTTTTCCTGGGGTAACTTTCTCAGCAGAAAATAATTCCAGCTTGAATGCAAGCAAGAATTCTTATATGGTGTTATTTACAATGTGCATTTCAGTGGCTTTATGTCCTTGCAAGTGAAGTAATTGTAATGTTAGTTCTCGTAGCTCTTTAGTACAATCAAATGACAAGCCCAAGGGAAGGCAGACAGTATTAAGCTGTCCCCAGTGATGTAATGCAGCTTGTATGTGTAAACCTCTGTACAATTGTGTTATCCTAAATGTTTTGAATGGTTTCTATCTGTATGTTTCTTATTTTAGAGGTGTCATTGGAGTGACATGTTCACGGGGAGACTAAGGTCTGAGATCCCTCCTGCTTTGGTAAGTAAAAACTAGATCTGAGTCTTCTGACTAATATAAATTCTCACCTGTCATGCTTTTTGTGAGAGCATGTTTTTTAGCGCAGAGCTGATCTTCCTCTACACTGTTTAACACTAAGTGTCTCAGAACAGGTGGGTGATTCTTTTTTGCTCCTTCTGGATGAGGTGGAGAAGAGTTGCTAAAAGGCCAAATGCAAGTCCATGCTAGTGAAGAAGCTTGCCACTGAGGAAAACGTCCTCATGATCTGATAGCATGCTTTTATTTAGAAAGCTTAGTTCCCATATGGCCATCTCTTCCAAGAGCATTACAGAGCTCCCTGCCTCCTTTAGTCCTCTGAAACAAGAACATGATAAACTCAACAGAATGAAAACAATATTTTTTTAGCAGTGTAGAGGGGGTAACTAATTTAGAAAAATGTGTATTTGACCTAAAGGGATGGGGTAACTTCTTGGAAACTGCTTTATGGTTATCTTTAGCTTAATTTGCACTACTTCTTCTCTGGCTTTAGCTGTAAAGTTTTATTTCCCAATGCAGATTTGCCGAATGTCTTCAAAGTGGAAATTTTTTGCAGCATCACTGTCATACCTAGCCACTGCAGTGATGCTGTCACTAAAAGTCAATCCACTCCCTGCCTCCCACCCACTGCCATCTGTTTCCTTACAGATCTCTTTGGGGGATGCACTCATCACTGCTGGAGCCCAGCTGGTGGAGCTGGACCTGAGTGACAATGCCTTTGGACCAGACGGTGTGCGTGGCTTTGAGGCACTGCTGAAGAGCCCCGCATGCTACACCCTACAGGAACTCAAGCTCAATAACTGTGGCATGGGCATTGGTGGTGGCAAGGTAAGGGTTGTCTCCTTTTTGGGAACAAAGTCAGAGCCAGGACTTGGCTTCAGACTGCCCTACAAAGAATCACAGAATGGTTGAAGTTGGAAGGGACCTTTGGTGATCGTTTAGTTCAACTTCCCTGCTCAAGGCAACTAGACCAGGTCGTTCAGGGCTGTGTCTAGTCAGGTTTTGAATATCTCGGTGTTAAACAATTTCACGAGTCTCTGGGTTACTCTAGGTTTGCATTTATTCACAACTCAGAGTTGGGCCATCAACTCAGTGAGTGGCAAATGAGAATCACAAACATAACACTTTATATATCTTTCTGTCATAATTGTGTAAAGAGTTTCTATAGTGTTCAGAATTCCTCATTTGTTTGGTCAGCTGAAAGTCCATTATTTTCCACAGGTTAGCATGTTCTTATTGTTCTGTCTCAGTCCTGCTTCTCGACCACAAAGTCCATTGGCTCATCCATCAAAAGTCTTCTTTCAGCAGACACCGTGAATACAAGGCAAACCCATAAGAACTTGACCTTTAACCTATTCTCTATTCGTCTGGGCCTACTTTAATTATTCTGTCTACATCTTAGTTTAAGATCAACTTATCTGATTGTCTTAAAGTCTTACCTTCTTCTCTCTTTATCTACTGATTAACTCAGCTGGTGATTAGTCCAGCCATGGAGGGGGGCTATACAATGGACGTAGTGAGCAGTAGACCATGGACTGTTGAGTTCCTGCTTGCACACCTGAATCTTGGTTGCATTCAGAAGTCAATATATTAATATAATACCCACAGGATGATTAATGAGACTAAGCAAAAGTAAAATTAACTCCTTCCTTTACCAAAAGGATAGAGGCTTCACAGCCTCTCTGGATAGTCTATCCCAGTGTTTAACAGCCCTCACATAAAAAAAGGGTTTGTGTTTACATGGAATTTTCTCTACATCAGACTGCGTGCATTTGTGTCTGGCTCTGCCTTCTTTACACCACCTTCTTCTCCATCTTTTTATTCTGGCTGTTCTTACACGTGGATAAGATCTCCCGCAGAACCTTCACTTCTCCAGCCTTATAACCCCAGCTCTCAGCACTCTCCCGGTGTGTAAAATTCTCCAATTCCTTAATCATCCTTGGGACCCTTTGCTGGACTCACCCCAGTATGTCCATGTAGGAGCCTGAAACTGGACACAGTGCTTGGGTGCATTTCACAGGGCTGAGTAGAGGAGAAGGATCACTTCCTTTACCTGCTGACAAGGCTTTACCCAAGGCAGCCGAGTAGACTTTCTTTGCTGCAAGCGCATATTGCTAGCTCATAGGCAACTTCTCACCCACTAGGACCCCCAGGTTCTTTTCTGCCAAGCTATTTTGCCCCCAGTTGACTCCCAGCTTATGCTGGTACATGGGGTTATTCCTCCCCATCTGCGGGATTTCACATTTCCCTTTAAGCTTAATGAGATTCTTGTTGGCCCATTTTATCCAGTCTCAAGATCCTGTCCCTCTACATGTTTCCATGGATAAGTCTCTGAAGTGTGAAAAGCTCATCTGGTTTTTCCAGGATAGGAAGACAGTTCTATCCTAAACATGTCAAGAGGGCTAGTATCCTTGGATTTGAGAGAACAGTATTACCAAGCCTAGTGCTGAGGGCATGCCTGTTGGATGAAGCAGAAGGCCAGGACTGTCATTTTTCACTAAGACCCTATATGTTTGCTGGTTTAAGAATCAAATGTTCTTAATGGGGTCAACATGTTCCAGTGTTGCAAAATTATTGCTTCTTGCCTAAGACTGTAGTGTGCAAGTGTTGTAGTTACAGACAGTTTTATTGTATACCCTGCTGTAGCAGCAGATACATTTCAGTGGTGACCAAAGTATTTCTTGAGAGCTGGATATGCAAAGCACATTTGTTTTCCTTCAGAATGAGATGCTGAGGTAGTATAAACTGTTTTATCTTCAGATATTGGCAGCTGCTCTGAAAGAATGTCACAGGAAATCAAGTGCCCAGGGCAAGCCTCTTGCTTTGAAAATATTTGTAGCTGGCAGAAACCGTCTGGAGAATGATGGTGCCACTGCCCTGGCTGAAGCCTTTGGGGTAAGTACCAAAACAGAGCTTCTTGACAGCAAATTGGAGCGAGGTGTGCTTAAGTGCTAATGTTAAAGATAATGTGCCCAGAGCTTGCCTCAGCTTGGAGGCAGCGGATGGTTGGTGGTTCACTAAAGTTATGATGTTGTTTGCTGGTCAAACTGGGAGTCTTCAGCAAGTGCAATTAGAGTTGATGACTGAATGTTTCTGTGACCTAGGTTTCCAAACACATAACTAGTGGCTGTGTAAAGTAGTTACCTGAGGGAGAAATAGGCATCTCCTGAGTAATGTAATAGTAGTCCTATTCCTTCTCCTCCCTCTGTGCTAATGCAGGTTATCTGGCACTGGGGTTGGTGTACCAGCTGACCTCCTGAGTGCTTCTTTGCCTAGTTGTTCAATCACCTGGCAAAAGCAACCTAGTGTTTTTGCTAGGATCACCCTGTGAGTGCTCTAAATGCTGCCTAGCTTTTCTAGCTGTTGCTGGCCAACTTGTGCTTTTGCTGGAGGAAGAGAATTTGTTGTGGTTGGGGCCACCTAATTCCCTTTTCTTTCCTCTATTGCTGCCAGAAGTGACTTCTGAATTATAATGCATATTGTCAGGTATATTAACAATGATATTGCAGGTGATAGGTTGTTCTTTTTGTAAAGAACTGTCTGGGTGTGATTTTGACTACTTGGTAATCATGGCAAAAATAAGACTTCTTAAATACTTGAGAGGCACATTAACAGTGATTCATGAGGAATTCAGACTGAATGGCACCAACATGGGATTTATTACTGTGTTTTGTGACATGCTTTTTAGTTCATAAACAGTGTTCATACTAATTTTCTTACAGGTTTGCTTCTGCAGTCAGGGCAAAATGTAGATCTTAATTAAAAAAATACCATATCCAGTGATGTTGCTTTGTTTGTTTCGGTGATGTTGAACCACAGGTGAAGAACTCTTGTTTTAAGGTATCTAGAGTAGGCACACTAGGAGGATATTACTTGTGACTCTTAGAATCAGGGCTTTGTATTAATCTGACACTTGCCATGAGCCTGCAATTTCACTTAGATTTGTGATGTAATTGCTGGTAAATAATTCTGTGTAGAAGAACTAACAGAGTTCTGAGTCGGAGGAAAACAATTTTAAGTAAATCCTAAAGAGTGAAGTACTATTCTCTTGAGTTGAAGTATGTCTCTTAACAGTTTGGGTTTTTTTTTTCATCTACATCCTTTCCCAGATCATTGGGACTCTAGAAGAGGTCCATATGCCACAGAATGGAATTAACCATCCTGGCATCACGGCACTGGCCCAGGCCTTTGCTATCAATCCACTGCTTAAGGTTATAAACTTGAATGACAACACCTTCACAGAGAAAGGAGCTGTGGCCATGGCAGAGGTAAGTTGTTCTAAGCAGTTGCTTTGGGTTTGTCTTTTGCTTCCCAGTCTCCTCAAATACTGTTAACATTAGCACCTCTGGGTCAGTGGAGCCACATTTCATGCTGTGGTGAGAAAGATGATCTTCCAGGGATGATAGGACATTCATTTACTTACATATCTGTACTTTCAAATTTGTGCTGTCTTGCAGACTCTGAAGGCACTTCGGCAGATTGAAGTGATCAACTTTGGAGACTGCCTGGTGCGTTCGAAGGGCGCTGTTGCTATTGCTGATGCTGTTAAAGAAGGGCTTCATAAATTAAAGGTATTGTCTTCTTGCTGTTCAGCTTTGAATCTCTTTTGAAAATGCCTAGTTTTCCATTTTGTGTTTTTCTGTCCATTCTCCTACAATTACTGATTATTTTAAAGTGGGATTCACTTCAGTGCAGGCTCTGTGCTCACAACTCGAAAGCAATAAGCTGTACTGTAGCTAGTGGCATCACCACATCCAGCTAAGGCTATTCTACATGGAGGTGTACCAGTGATCTGTTTAGACTCTGCTTGATGTTTAAGCTGTTGGTTCAACTCAGCAAGTGCTATTCAAGAAAGCTGGTAATGGAAGTACCTGCTTTTAGAACCTCTCAGAAGGTCGTGAGTGGGGACTGATGTTCCTCATCGTGGACAGCTTGTGATCTCCAGCATTTCAGAGTTCATACAGTTAATGCTTTTTCTTTGTTAGGGCATATATCAAAGGTCCAAATACTTCTAGTTTTTTGGTAATACCACAGTGTCCTACATCAGTATTTGCACAGGACTTGCAATTGACAACATTCTAGACAGGCCTAAGTCCAGTGGGTAATGTAACTAAACTAGGATCTCTAGAAACACCTGCTGTGGGTCTCAACTGCACCGGGACAGATGCTGAACACGCAGTTCCTAATCTTGCAAGCTTACGTTCAAAGACAAAAATTCAGCTGAGTGCTAATATTTATTTACCTATACTAACCTGGTACAGAAAGAAGTAGGTGCTTTGAGGTGTGAGATCCCTTGCTCAGGCTTCTGCTGGTTCTACTGGAACTTTTATGTCTGAATCTCCCAGGAAAACTTAAGTAAGTATTCTAATGAGGGTATTGAGATGAACATCCAGAAGTTAAATCCTTTTTTCTGGTGCAGGAGTGTTTAAGGGAGTGTACCATGAAGCAATCGTAGCTGATTCATTCTGTTCAAGGACTGCTTTCCCTTTTGCTGTTAATATTAAATCTCTTCTCAGGAAAGGATTGATTGAGCGCAACGTGAAATGGTGGGGGATGGTGCCTGGCTGTTGAATAATTTTACAAAGTCTGTCAGCACTGTTTCTCTGCTGGCTGTGTTTATCAAAAGTAGTACCACTCATAGTTTATCTTTTGATGGCCTTAACTTGCAATGTAAGTGTTCAAAAGTAAATGACCAGTTTGTTTAGTATAGTAGCTACCCTTCTTCAGTAAGACTTACTGGTGTGTGAATTCTGGAATTTTCTTGTGACCCTTGAATAAGTGAAGATTTCCAGTTAGCTGCTTGCTAAGGACTCAAATGTCTGTCACCTTTCAGGTGAGTGGTCAGAATGGTCTGATCTCTGTGGCTATTCTAGTGAAGTGGTTACCTTCAGTAGCCCTGCTCTTAATAGTATGTTTCAAAATGCCCCTTTTAGGTATATGAAGTAGGAGTATGTGTCAGGTTTTATGTCTAATTAAAAATTTATTTTTTTTTTTTTTGCTAAGAGCCTCTTCAAATGAGCTTCTTTCCAGAACACTTCTGAGCACAGGAATCTTGTGGAGATGATAGATATTAATAGGAATTCTGCAAACAAATGTTATTCTGCTTCTTAGGAACTGAATTTGTCCTTCTGTGAGATCAAACGTGATGCAGCTCTGACTGTTGCTGAAGCTATTGAAGATAAGGCAGAGTTGGAGAAGTTGGATCTCAATGGTATGCACGTTTGCTAGATCAAAGCATGTCTAGTCTGATCCCAACTAGAAACCCCTAGGAAGAATGTTGGCGGTGTCACATATTCTAGTCTTGCAATTGTCAGCATTTAAAAAAATGTTGCTCTGAGAGTAGCTGAGCTTGGATGACCTTGGGACAAGACGCAGTTATATCCTGAAAGTTTTCTTAAGCCATGAATTCAGTTAATTGTCAAAACTTAAGCAGTTTTGGTATATCTCGTAAGGTGGAAAGATTAAACTGCTACCTATACCCGTTTTCAGTAAAATTTTTTTAATTGTCCATTGTGATCTTGGATATTTTATACTTGCAAACAAATACCTCAATGCACATCTCTGCAGAAGAGTGGGAGAACTTTGACCAGTGTTGGCTTTTACTGTTTGTACCTTGTCTTGCTGCATTTCAGTGGTACTGTGCCATGTGTCCTTGTTTTAGAATTGCTGAGAACAAGAGCTGTTTATAAGAACTAGCAGGAAGTCTCTCAAAAGACACTCTGAAAAATTAGGGGGCTTGTTTGTCTCCAACCATTATGTAATGCTGTTGAAATTTAACAACTGTTTGGTTCTGATAACTGAAGGCTGCATTGCCGCCTCTAAGGTGTTGTGTAGAAATGACCACTAACTGTTCAACTTGCAAAATAAGAGACAGACAAGAGTCTGTAGCGAATCCTCAAGAATAAACTTGTGTGCATCTGTTAAGTCTACTTCCTTTCCCCTATCAACCTAGGTAACTGTCTGGGAGAAGAGGGATGTGAGCAACTCCAGGAGATCCTTGAAGGCTTCAATATGGCAGCTGTGCTGGGATCTTTGAGGTAGGCAGTGTACCAGAGTCTAAATCAGAAGTGTTCTGACAATTTTCATCAATACTTTCATTCACCTATCTGTTTTAAAATAAGAACTGTAACATTGCAGATGGATGTTGGTTGCAGTGTGGAGCACCGTTAGGGGATTCCATAAGCAGGATAAGCCTTGTGTCTTGTTTTCATCAGTGGACTTATCTTAGTCTTAGTTATTGATTGCATTCCTTGCTCTTTGCTTGCCCTTGTCAACTGGGTGACTGAAGCCTGAGTGTCCTCTTCATCTGTTGTAGATGGAGATGTACTTCTTGGAGTAAGACTCGAGGGGAGGCTACTTTTTTGTTCTTGAAAAAATGTGAGTTCCAGTATACAGGAATTGCAAGTGTGTAATTAATGTAACAAGTAACTCTCAAACCTTAGTGATGATGACGGGGAGGACGAGGATGATGAAGAGGAGGATGAGGAGGATGAAGATGAAGAGGAGGAGGAAGAGGAGGAGGAGGAAGAACAGCAACAGCTGAAGGAGAGAGGACAGGGAGAACAGGAGTCACTGACTCCTAAGAAGATAATTGATTCACAGGTAAGCTTACTTCCAGATGCATTCTTGTTTCCTCAGCTGCAGGAGGGTAAAGGAGGAAATGAGATCTGGAGTGAGTCTGGACTTGGAGTGCTGGCAGGCGTTCATATTCCTGTGTGGGCTGGCACTGTAGTAACAGTCAGGGAGATAACATGCAGGAAGTAAAGAAAATGGATTACTTGGAAACATGTTTTGTTAAAGCGTGCATGTGCACACATGCATGGAGGGAAAGGCTGAGTAGCAGTTGTGACAAACATGGGTAGAAGAAGTCTTCCCGTGTCCAGAAAATGGTGGGAACCTTGTATGTGCAATGCCATGCAGTTGTGATAGCATATTCTGGCTATTCCAACTCTGGGCTCATTCCAGCCTCAAATAATTTTCAAATGGAACAAATCCTGACCTGATGTACCTATGTCCTGACCTGTCCTATGTGCCTTTGCTGTTGAACCAATTTATATAATTTCAACAGTAAGTACGAGATGGACTCTGTCTGTTTCAGGATTCAACTCCAGTGCCATCTCCTCCTGTGGATGTTGCCACGTTCCTTGCTTTCCCATCGCCAGAGAAGCTGCTGCGACTAGGACCAAAGTGCTCTGTGCTGATAGCTCAGCAGGTAGGTGAGCCGGTGGTCTTCTGTGATTGATTCTCTCTCAGAATCATTTAGTCCAAGGCTGTAATTCTTGTCATAGCCCTAGAAGAGACCCATCTTCTGTAGCTGGTGAGCAGTGAACTGATAGACCCCTAATTTTTTTCTCCCCTTTGTCTCTCAGACAGATACATCTGATGTAGAGAAAGTAGTTACAACTCTCCTAAGGATATCATCAGTCTTCAAAGATGAAGCTCCAGTAAAAACAGCAGTGCATGAAACAACAGGTGACTGGGCCTTTCTTCGCTTCATGGTGTGACCTACTGCAGTGTCGAGGACACCAGTGCGATGCAGAAGAAGGCTCCTGTGGGCCAGGCCATCAGACTGTTTTGTCCCTGGCAGCAGGAAACCCCAGATAACAAAGTACCAAGCAGTGCCGTGCTGTTGTGTGGAGTGAAAGTAGAAATTCATTCTGAACTTAGCATATCTTGTGCTTCCAGTATATTGGTCCTGAGGGAGCCCAGAAAACAGTTAAACAAGTTTTCTCATTGTGTTCTCATTCCTTTTCGTTTCAAATGAAAGGTGAATTCTTGCTGGCCTTCAGCAAGAGTTTAGAGCCTTAAAATTTTGCTTTACTTAATCTGATCATATTTATAGGCATGTATACACATAGCATGCATGTTCAAATGCATTGAGTAGAGCGTTTTGTGATGCATAGGATTGAGGTCAAATTACATCTGAAGCTTGGCAGTGTGTGAATTTGGGGGTTTTTTTGCATTTGTTGTTGTTGGTTGTTTGGGTTTTTTTTCTTTTCCTTTGTATCCGGCCTTATACCTAAGGACTGGTTTTTGGCTGTCTGGGTGTTTCAGAGCTTATAGCTAGTCCCTGCAGAGACAACTGGAATCTTAGCAGCTATTACCTCCCAAAACTCCTTTAACAGCTGATATTCCCTGAGGTCCTGTATGATCAATCTTGATCTTAAAATCTGTAACAGTATCCATTTCTGTATTGTTTAATATGATGCATTTATTTCTTTTTAGATGCCTTGATGAGAAAAGCCTTCACTTCTGCCACATTCAATTCAGATGCATTCATCACAAGTCTCTTGATCCACATGGGACTACTTAAGGTAAGGAAGCAGGAAAGAGTTAAGTTATGGTCTCTTTAGGCTGTTGAAGACCAGACTGGCTGGGTTTTGGGTAATTACGTTGCCATGGAAGCAGCTGGGTGCCTGTGCATGCCTGATGCCCAGGGACAATGGAAGTCTGCAGGTCTAGCAGAAATTGCAAATTGCAAGGTTGCATTAGGATGAAGGAGGTGTCAGCTCTTTGTACCTCTTCTGCCCAATGTGCTCTGCGTTCTCAGTCATCCCCTAAAGGTAGGGAGGGTTAGGTAAGGAAATAGTGCTGCTGCTGGACTACGGTGTTGATAAAAAGCATGTCCAGGAGTCTGATCTACAATATTATTAGTTAATGTCGTCCTTTAGGGCATCTCTTAGTAGCGTGGCTCAAAACCATACGTCCAACTACTCATGCTAGATCAATAGCATTCAACTTCATGCTTTGGAGTATCTTTGCCAAATACTAGCATTAAATAGTAGATATAATATATTGCCTTCTGGTAATACCCAGCTTGGGGTACAGATGGCTGTTGACATGCTTGGATACATCTTAATTTCCTAAAAATCAGTTTAGCCTTTTCCTGTGTTCATTGGACCAATGCTGAGCTTCCCACTTCTCAGACACCAGAACCTGAGATGGTTTTTTGTTCTGCAGAATGCTTGTTTTGGGGACTACCACCTACCTCTTACCCATACAGAAAATAGCAAATATGCATGAAGTGCAAAGCACAGACCAGGAAGTGGCATTGATAAGCCTTTGAGGATCAGCCAGCTGGTTGTCATCTGTGATATAGAGGACTGTTGATGAATTAGGCATATGTGGAGAAGGGAGCAGCTTCCATCGTTTTCTGTCCCACATAACTGGAAGCACATCAGCAAAAGATACTCTTAGGACTGTGAACTCCAAGGTTCATATGCCTAGGACCACAGGTCTAGATCCTTGTCTACAGAATTAAGGGCTTTGGTTGAAATGACAGTGGAGAAATAAATGAAAACAATGTAAGAGTTGGGATGCATAGGTTAGCATCACATTTGGAGCAAGAATAACTTAGTCATCCTCCTGCTTATGTGATGCATATTAGCTTTATCTTGTACATCATTGAGACACCAGTTCTGAGAACACTGCATCAAATTCTGGACAAAACCTGCCCAAGGACTGGAGATGGTATAAAAATGAGCTACAGAATAGTACAAGAAAAAATGATGTAATTAAGGCAACTGAATTCTTTATGAATTGAAGTCTTGGTGGAATTTCTTAGGAGAACACTTTGACATAAGGCCTCCGAGAAGATTTGGCTGTTTCACTTGCAAGTTCATTCTTCCCTTTCGCATTACTACTGCTGTCAATTGATAAGTACTAGAATGCTGTTGATGGTGCTTTATTGCAGATGCTGGTGCTGGGAGGCTATAGAATTGGCCACCTGTGTCTTGAGGAACATTGCACTTAATCTAGTAATCAGCTTTCTCTTCTACAGTGTATGGGAGAACTTCATGCAACAGAGAATTCATTGCCTCTGTGAACTACAGTGGATTAGCTAAGACAGTGATTGTCTGATGTCTGACTTCATCTTCTTGTCCTTTTCTCAGAGCGAAGAAAAGATCAAAGCTGTCCCGAGTCTCTATGGTATTCTTATGACCTTGAACTATATGGTCCAGCAGGATTATTTCCCTAAATCCCTGGCCCCAGTTCTCTCAGCTTTTATCACAAAGTGAGTATTGTACTTGTCATGCAGTCTTTGTGGGATCTAGTGAAACTGTTTGAGGCTTAGTAGCTACATACAAGCCCACTAAATATCTGTTCTGAAATTAACGATTAATAGTTTAGTGGGCCTCTACTTTTATCTTGCTTACTCCAGTAGGCAAGGTTTAGAGTAAAAAAAAAAAAAAAAAAAAAATCTTTGTCATAAAGAAGAAACAGCGGAAAGCTGGCTTTGCAACTAACTGGCTGTGAAGCAGAGACTGCTAATGCCGGTCACAGTAGAGGTGTTTTGAGCTTAAGGAAACCTGCTGGGTTTCTAGCCACTGCTTGAGTGAACTATGAGCACACTGGGTCTAACTGCACCATCCAAATCATCCTTTGGAGTATGAGGGTCAGCAGAGCTCTCTACCCAAATTGTCATGCTCTGTGACACTGAACACCAGCAGATCAAAACACTGCAAAACACAAAGGCTGAATTTGTTTCTAAATGAAACTTCCTACTGTGACAGCAACAAGGTTGGTAATTTTTCTGAGAACTAAAGTGGGAGCGTAAGTGTTGAAGCTGCTTCTACTGTCTGCCTCTATGTAATGTTGTTACTTCTAGTATAGGTATAGAATGAACCCTTGCCCCCACCAGCTTCAGTTTCTTTAATGTCTTAAACCATAAGAAATGCAATAGCTGTAGAAACCATATCTCCTCTGAATTAAAGCAGTGTGAACTTCAGCATTAATGAGACTTAAAAAAACCCCACACCAAATAGATCTTTCCTCAAGAGAAGAAGGATTAAATACTACTCTTCAGTAGTCAAAAGGAGAAACAGTCCAAAATTGTCACTTCAGGCAAAACCAACAGAGGTCTGAAATCCATTTGGAGCTCAGTGGCTGCTTGGCTCAGCGTGGACCATGTGCTGTTTAGGGCGAGAGCAGCTTTTTAACAGGTTCCAGAATGAAGCTTAAGCCTTCCTGATTTTCATGGTATGGGTAATATGCAGATGCTTGTGATCTCTTGCTGATGAAAGGCAGAGGCATCAAATACGTGTGGCCAGTACAAAACATGGGTGATAGGGATGCAGTCAAATATTTGCCATCAGTCTTTTCTTAGTTCTACTGGGATTGGAAGCAGGCCAGTTGTGATAGGGGAGAAAAATTTTTCCAAGCGTTGGTGTGGCTGAAGCTGTCAAAGCTGATGTGTAGCAGTGGTGTGTGTCCAGCAACCAGCCATGCTAAGGTCAGTTTTGGAAAATAAAACTGTGTGACTAGCCTGTTTACGCATGTGGAAATGCTAACCTACAGGCCCTTCTGGTGGAACAGTTTGTTTGCTGTCTCTTCTGATCAGGCTAAGAATTAGGCAGTTACAAGCCAATGAATGCTTTACCAGCTGAACAAATATACCTCCAACTCAATCATTATAGGTTTAAGCAGGAAGTGTCAGGACTTGCCATGTGAAATTGTCCACACAGATCACTGGATTTCTGCTGTTTCCTACACTGCTGCCTGTGCCTCTCATCTTGCTTGTTGATCAAGTAGATGCGTACAGCGTAAGGATCCAATATCAGCCCTAAAATAAAAGGGTGGAGAAAATGATGGCTGGCTTCTTCAGGCACTAGTTATGCAGAGACCCACCTTGATCAAAACAAGTACCACTTAGTGTGTGTCAGCCCCAGCCCTCCAAACAGAGGATTTAGATCACTTGAAGCTGGGAATACAGAAAAGAGGACTTTGATTCAGTGCATTTGACCCTTCCAACTGCTTATGTCAGGTTCCGGTGCCTAGAGTAGCCTCATACCTCGGCACGATGTGTCAATCTAAACAAATATGCTCACAAAAGACGCTTGTCCCCTTCTCCCTCTATGTGTGTCTGTAGGCCTCTCCCAGGCTCTGGATCTGCAAAATACCAATAAAGGTTTTTCATCTCTAGATGATGCTGTATATGACAAAATAAGAGTAAAATTCTGGTCTTAATGAATCAGTCAACAAGAATTCCACTGAATCCATAGTCAGCATTTCACTACAACTACAAGAGGGGAAAGTCTCTTTCTGAGAGTGCGAGATTGTTCAGAGGTCCTGTATAAGTTGTGTGAGAGCCAAGAACTTCTCACAGTAGGAGGCAGGTCTAGCTGCCTGCTTTTGGTATGTAAGGATGCTAATGCCAAGCCTGCAGAGTGTCCCTGGTGCTGTGAAATTCCTGGAGCTGAAGCTTGCTCTGATTTGAAACCCCTCTGTTGCAAAGGTGTGATGTTATGATAGGGAAACCTATGTCCTGTGCATAATGAAGTTAACACTATATACAAGAAATATACCTTTATGTTTTATAAATATATGTATTTCTTAAAATGCTTTCTGTAAGGGAACAAGGAGAACAGCTATTAAATCCTTTACAGTTGCCTGGAGAGAACAAGAGCAGTTTGAGAATCACAAAGTCCAGTTAAAACAGCTTCTCAATTAACCTACACCCCTAGTCTTTCCTCGGAATTCAGTCAAGAACAAAATCATGTCCTAACCTTAAATCAAACCTCTAACTGGTTAACCTAGTAATCTACAGAGCTCATTTGGGCTCTGTTTCTGCAGCAAATCTATTTGCATTCTGTCAAACCCACAAGTCCTTAATTTGCAGCAAACTGGTATGCATTTTTGTGATGTTTTCTAGGTTTTTACTTTAGGACTGCAGTTAGCTCCTTCAGGCTTCTGGAGCTGCAAGTTCTTGAAGCTGCCTAGGCTAGAGCTCTGCTGCCTTTCGTTGCAAGGGGCTTCTGGAGTAATCATTCTTCTCCTTTTGTGACAATTTGTGGTGATGTAGGTAGGGTTCTCCCTTCAAAAATAATAATATTACAGATATGGACTGTAAGCAGCATCCATCTTACTCTGCCGCTGTCAGTCCTTACTTTCTATTTTTTTTTGTACACAAGAGGGTGCTGTGGATCCACATGTCCATAAGTCTTTTGGTGGAAACACTGGAAGTATGTGGATGTCTGCCTGCCCACTTGTGACTTGCTGGAGGTGGTGGTGGGTGGTTTTGTTTGTGGGGTTTTTTCCAGTGCTTGTTGCTGCAGGATTGGATCATATCACTGGCTTCTTTCAACAGTCTGTAGCACAGAGTGGCAGGCAGTTTAACTCCACAGCAAGTAAGGAGGCTCTTAGTGGTAGAGAAGGCTTGGTGTTAGGAGTGGAGGCTGTGAGAGAGGTTGGCTGTGATCAACATCAGCAGTTCAGGTTCTCTATTTTGAAAAATGGGGAGCCACCTAGACAAAATCATTGCAAACAAGGCTGGGTCTTCCAAAGATGATGGCTGAAATACCTCACCCAGCCACTTTGAAGATAAACTGGAAGTTGTAATTGTGTCCTGTCCAATATGGGGCATTGAATGGCTCTTGGGGGGGATAAAAGGGGTTAATTCTTCTCTAGGATGAGGTTCTGTTAAACTGTAGCATATGTGGAGCCCTGTATCAAACAACCTCTGCAGCTATTACCCGTGTACTATAAATCCAGAGATTTATTTTTTGTTCCTACCTAGATACTCCCATCTTTATTTCAGCTCCCCCTTCTTTCCCAAATTGAGTAGACCTCACTGTTATTACGGGTATTTTGCTGTGTTGGAGTAGGAGAAAGGTAAAAGTAACAATTTCTGTTCTCAAAACAGTGGAAAACGTTGGATTAAAATTTTCAGGAGAAAGTTCCCTAATGGGTGGATACAGACTGTTAGAAGTTTGAAGAACAGTTAGCCTGTGGAGATAGAAATATACATTACTGGGAGGTGACGGGAAGGTGAGGGAGATGTAGCCCCACGTTAACCCTGATGTGACTAGAGTTCCATCACCTAGTTTCAAGGAGCAGGTTATTTTGTGTGAGGTAGACCTTGCTATTGCAATCTTTGTGCCAGGCACTTTCAGCTGATGGTCTTGCAGGTTCTGTGGGCTCTTTGTAAGGCCCCATGAAAGGTGGCCCAGCAAAGCCAGTCAGGTGTTACTTGACCTCAGGGGTGGGGAGGGCCTCTTTTAAAGATTTAAGCCCTGAGACCAAAGTCACCATTGGGTCAAAGATAGCAGATGACTTGGTGAGAAAAGATTGGAGTACGAGCAGGCTTGTCTGCTGTGTTTTGGGGCCCTAAACAGTGAATCTATACAGAAAATTTTATTTCTGGGAGGGAAAGGGGCTTCCACCACCACCCACTTCCTGCTACCTAACCTGAGACACGGGGCTGCAGAGATCAACAATCTGCTGCTGAGTTTTCTACCCATGGAAAGAAATGTTCATTCTTGACTGTTGTTTTCCTGACTCAGACTCAGCAACAGGAGAGAGAATTTTCAACACCTGGGAAGCAGTGATCTGTGCAGAGGTCAGGGAATGGTTTCAGAAGAGATGACCCAAGGGGAAAAGACATAGACTGTTGGGCATGCAAGCCCAATGCACTTGAAATGGTGTTTGTTTGGTCATTCAAAATCAGATACAAAGCAGTTCTTAAATTTAGTATTTTAAATCTCTCTCTTTCCTCTTTCCACAGACCAAACCGTGCTCTTGACTCCTGTTCATTTGCTCGCCACATGCTCTTACAAACCCTCCACCAACTGTAAGAAGCAAGAGATGTGCTGCTGTGCCCTTCCCTCCTCGTAGGACTGTTGTCAGCAGAGAACTCTGAGCTGTGTGGTGGTAGAGGATCCCAGAGCCTATACAGACATGCTGTCCTTTCTTCTTTTTCTTTTTTTTTTTTTCTTTTCTACTCATGAAGTGACTCCCTGGTCTGTGGGACAGGTGCTTATGTTAGAATAAGTCAGTGCTGCTCTGAGCTCTGCGTGAATTAAAAAGAAGAGTCCTCCACTTCCATTGCATTGGCAAGGGTGTGCCAAGATTAACACAAGGCCCAGAAGCACTCTCATCAGGATCAACCCAATTGTGCATTTTATTTTATTGGACTGTGACTCCTGCCTGATAGCATTCAACACTGTGTAGGAGGGAAGCTACACTGCTGCTGCTGCCCCTGCTTCTCCAGGCTGGGGGATTGCTTGACCCCCTTCTGCTGCTGCTGGGTCAGAGGGGCAAGGTGTGCCCCCCTTTGTTTCTTTCAAGTCCGTTTGTCGAAGGCAGTGTGTGGCTGACTTGTATTTTAATATACCACTCCCCTGCTGCTGTGGCTTGGAATATTCGTGCAGTGTGGCTGACCCTGGTGGCCATTGCTTGAGGGAGCAAGCGTATTTTTATTGTAAATTGTTTTGCCATTGCCTGTGTTTTTCCCTCTTCCTGCCCTTTCCCTGTCCCTTTCCCTTCTCTTCCTAATTAAATAGGCTTGGTTTGGAAATGAATACAATCCATGAAATCCCTGTGGAATACATGTTCCCTTTCTCACTGTTCACATGTTTGAAAGCTGAGCATGTGTAAGAGCATGAGGAATTAGGGCTGTGCTGATTGTTCTCAGGTGGGGCTGTGCTTTTTTTCTTGTGCTGAAAGAGTAGCAGCAGATGACCCTAAATCTCTGTATGGAGGATTGATTGTCCATGTGCCTACACGTGTTTGTGGCACCTACCTACAGGCAGGTCCTGGTCCTTCTTCTTTAGAGCCTCTGAGAATCAACACATCCCTTTCTCTTTAGGTAGCGAAGAGTTGTTCCTTCCCTCTCTGTTTTCAGTTGGAGGAGACTACTCATCCTCCCTTACACAACCGATGTGCAGTATAAATGGGGCCAGTGCCAGGAAGAAGTCAAGGAAATTGAGTTAGTTCCTTTGGTGTGAGAGGCAACATATATAACGTGTACGTGCTGGCAGGGTGCATGTGCTTGGCCTAAATGCAGGACAAGCCGGTGTTAACTCACAGGGTATGGAGGCAGCATGGGCAGAAAAAAGGGCTTGGGGCACTGGATTGAAATAAAGTGCGTGGTATGTGCAAAACCTACTCGCATGCACTCTCTGCATAAATTCTTCCAGGTTGTGGGCCTGTTCAAGGCAGCCTCTGGTGAAACTGGGGTGGCTGGGGAAAGTTTTGTATGGCTGTGATCCAGCAGGCTCGGGAAAGCAATGTCTCTTGCTGCTCTGGCCAGGGAGGTGTTGGCCTTCATGTAAGAGCAGTGTCCCCTCATTACAAAAAGGTTGCCCTAAGGCTAAGAGCAAAATGCATTTTCTCCCTGTTTCTGTGACTGAAGCTGGAACTCCTCGGTGTCCAAATTGGTGAAAATTGACCAAAGTGAAGGTACCTGCACCTACAGAAGGAGCTTCAATCGCTACAGGCTGAGCCCTGCCCCCTTCACCTCATCCCATCCCCTTCCTTCAGCTGTCTGTTGCAAAAGCAAATCTGTTCAGTTTGCCATGAGCTCGAGGGCAAGATAGAGACATAAAAGAATCTGTATTTTCTGTAAGTCTTGAGCCTGGTGTAGCTTTCCTTGGAGCTCCGTGGCCTCTTGCTCTGCCCTGGAGGAGGGTCATGGAAAAAAGGAACACGATGCAGAGGCCAAGCCAAGGGTTGTTTAACTTCTGCGGGAGGACATCGGCAGTTGGTCCCGTGGAGCATCCTCTGTGTGCGAGGCTGTCTGACAGCCTGCGGAGGTCAGAGGGATGCTGCTGCTTGCATGGAGGCCTGTGGGCCAGGTCGAGGGGAGAATCTACATGGGAAGCTTTGAGTGGACAAGCCATAGTAGCAGAACAAGTGTGAGATGCTGATCCTGAAGTTTCTTTCAAAAGCAAACCATGTTTATAAGCAGGATTTTCCTGGTCCTGGTATCCAGTGTCAAGATTAGATGTCTATAGGAAAAAGGGAGGTGTGAGGGTAGAAGTTGAGAGTCTCTGCAGAAGACAAATTCACTTCTAGGTAGGACATGGAGTCAGAAGTCCCTAAAAATTGGCTTATGCCTCAGGATTAGGAGGAAAAAAAAAAAAAATGGGAATTGCTAACTCTGGTTTTCATTAGAAGTTGCTCCCAGAGGATGACAGATTCCCAGCTGTGCCCTGGAGGAACGTGGGGTCATTCCCATGCTGCTTCAGCCGGTCTTGTGCAACCATCTCACTCCAAAAGCACCACAGTTGTTGGAAGTATTTTTAATTTGAACTTCATTAGTCCAGCAAAGCCATGGGGGCAAAGAGCTCTGTCTATGTGGGGCACCTGTAGTGGTAGTAAGGGGATTGTGATCCTTGCAGGCAAAGGTGAAGCATTTTAATGGAAAGCAAAAGTATCTGGCCTGGCAAAGGTATGTTAAACCCCACCAAGTGGAAGTTCAGGTGTGCTGCCCTCATGTCCCATGCCCCACCAGAGAGAGCAGAGTCTCCCTGTGGCCTTGGTAGATGCCGAAGACGATGAGATCCAAAGCTGATGAGATTGTTGCTAGGTAAATTAACAAACTCAAAGCCTGTGGGGACCTCACCTGAACCTTCCTGTGGTCCCCGTCACAACCCAGGCCAACAGGAGGGAGCTGTTGCTGCCCCAGCAGTCAGCCAGGCAGGGCAGGGGAGGTGGTAGTGGGCCAGGCAGTGGGCAGCAGAGTGGGCTGGACCGTGGCCAGGGCTGTGGTGGGGGTAATGGTGGCTGCAGAGGGTGGTTCCACATCAGCAGGTGGATGGGGTTGCTGCTGAAAGTGCAAGGTGGCCAGTAGGAGGGTGGTGGAGGTTGTAGTTCTGGTGGAGGTGGTCAAGGTCCCCCCAGGCTCCCAAAAGTCCCTGACCAGAGCTCTTCCACCCTGCTGCCCCCCAGGCAGAGGGCAGTGATCTCTGGCTGATCCGGGAAGAAGCTGGGCCCCAGTAAAGGTGCTGCAGGGCCAGCTCTGCAGTGGGAGCCATGAAGGAGCCACACCTGAGCCAGGGGCTTCCTCCTGTTGTGTGCGGAGGGAAAGGCTGCAGGGGACCAGGAGAAAGCGGAGGGCAGTGGTGGAGACCCCAGGGTTGAGAGCAAATGCAAACACCTGGCTCCAAGCTGCTTCATTTTGGGGCTGCTCCTCAGCTCGCCCCAAACATGGTACCAGAGATGGGGGATCAGCCAGCCGTGAACCCAAACCAGGTCTTGGTGATTTGGTTGCAGGCAGTGAGTGCCCCCTCCCCCTGCCAGCCCGGGGCAGGTTCATCCCCTCTGGCCCTACATCCCCAATGGTCCTCCCTGCAGAGCAGAGCGGGGACAAGCATCAGCGCTGGTGCCTGCGGTTGGGTGCTGGCCCCATGTCGCAGGAGCACTAAGCACCCCTGGGGGCCTGCGGGATCAGAGGGGATGCTGGCCCGAGGCTCTGGCCAAGGAGGTTTTGGCCATCCGGATGCAGGGAGGCTGGCAGACCCCAGCCAGGGTGTCCATCGCTCACAGGTGGCACTGGGGTGGGACACACTGGTTCTGGCAGCTGAGATGATGATTGCTCAACAGGGGAAGGGCTTGAAGCGGAGCGAGAGATGTTAGTATCAAATCTTTCAGATTTATTTTTGTTGGGCTGCAAGTCTGCTAGTGTTCTGTGGGGGAGCGAAATGCAGAGCTGAATAAAGGGAAGTGATGGAGTTGGGAAGGCCAAAACAAAGGTTTCCGTGGCCTTCTGCAAGCGAATGATGTTTCACACAGGCACTGCCACCCGTGGTCTCTTTGAAACAAGCAGAGAAGCAAAATTAGGAGAACTGGGGGCTGTAAATGTGGCACAGCCCCGCAGCCTGGCTTGCCAGCTGCCTCTTCCCTTCTGCTCAGGCTTACCGCCGCCATTGCAATTTTGGCTGGATGTCACCTTTCTGCCCTGCACCTCCGTAGCTCCTGTGACTTACACAGCCAGGAAAGGAAAGGCAGAGCCCAGGAAATGGTGAGTGCAAATCCCGCAGGGGCTCTGGCCGGGCCGCCGCTGCGACACGCCAGGGTTTGGCCCCCTGTGCGGCGAAGGGCAGGCGATGTCTGGGTCACTGCCCTCTCTCCAGGGGTGCTCTACCCTTCCTCCTTCCCCCCTCCTCCTTCTCCTCCTCCCGTGTTTCTGGCTCTGTCCGGTGAGCGCTGCTGGGAAAGCGACACAACGGGACCCATTCAGCGCTCGCTCCTGCAAGGAGAGCAAACACCGGCGCAGGAGTTTGGCAGCCACTGGACGGCGGCGGGGGGCGGGGAGACGACGCTTTCCCCTCTTTTTTTGCTGCCTCTTGAGGAACAGGTACCCCCAGCCCCCAGGTGCGTGACACCCCCCCCAGGTGTGTGGGAGGGGGTGGCAGGATGGTGGCCGGCACATGGCAGTGCCCAGGCAAGGGTTGGCGGGGGAGGGCTGGGCTGGGGGCATCATGTTGGTGGCACTCTCAGGTGGCTGCGCGGGGT